TAGCTTGCAAATTGTACTGTTACCAAAAAATGTAACACACACACACCCCCCAATGAGCTTCAGAGATGGCTATAAAATATAAAACTTGCTGATAAGAGCACATTGCAAAGCAGCATGGTCAGCAAGCCCATACTCTCATCCATAAATATTTTTAGTGTTCGCAAAACAGTCTTAAAGAGAGAAAGACACTAAATATACTTTGCATCCCCTTTCCACACACTCCCTTTACAACGGACAGACAGGAGGAGTGCAATGGCAGCTCCTGATCGAATAATTTTATCGATGTAAACCTGATCAATCTTACAGCAGACAGTACCAAGAGGAAGAAAAATGAGCCACCATCTGTGGCTTGTTCTGGGTGGCAGCACAACTAACGTCTTGTGAGCGAGCTGACACATCAAAGACAAGAGGCACACAATGCTTTACCAGAAACTTCTATATCATTCTAAATTTATTTTTAATAATCTGTATTGAAAGAAACACTGATGCCAGGAGCAGCAAGCTGCTTTTTTGTGAAGGATGCCAACAGTTGCCTTCACAGTTGCATAGCACACTTATGTAGCCTATCATTGTATCATCATGGTATGACACAAACCAACCCCCTTCCAAATCTACAAAACACTACCAGCAACACTCTACCTGAAATTTATTCAGAGCTCTTTGCACTTCCTGCTGCTCTGAAGATACCAAAGAGCCACCCTGAACATGCACTGTGATGGGAACTGCAAACAAAAGCCCACTTTCTGCACTGAGGAAGCCTGGAGCATCATTTGGGAGACTTGCTTGTGCATTTTGTGAGGCATAAAAACAGTAACGGTGAAAAGAAGTCACTTGATACCCAGGCATCAATCTTCATTGCAGCAGACAGATCCAATAGACTAATTGCTTCAGTGTCATCAAGTATCTGACAGATCAGACCCAAAAGGTATGGTGTGCCTACACAGCAAGCAGTCTGATTCTTAAAAGTACAATTACAGCCTTCTTTGCTGTAAGGTTTCCAAATGTGATGTAGGGACATCTGCCCAGACCTTCAGCTGAACACCCCAAGAGATGTGAGCTTCCACCTAAAGCTCAGCAGCATCTTAGTTCTCCAGTTTAACTATGAATTATTGATTTTTTTTTTCTGCAAACAGCCAAAAGAGTAGGAAAAGCAAACAGAGAACTCGAAGTTACTATGACAGGAGAAGGCTCAAAATAGAAAGGCAAACAGAGGTGGGGAAGGAAGGAGAGCCTTATGAAGGACAAGGAACACCTGGAATGAAACATGAGGTGAGTACTAGGGGACACTGAGGAGAACCTCACCTCAACAATGGCACCCAAAAGCTGAGCCATCCTCTGCACTCACCAGCTCGCTCAATCCTTTGTCCCTCTCCAAAGGCTCAGACTGGTTAGTGTGATCGGTTTGTGAGGCCGTGCTCTGGTGGCACCTCCAGCACGTGCTTTCCCATCGCCTGTCCCCTCAGTTACCTCAGGAGGGGCTCCTCCTGCCCCAGGCCTCCACACCTGGCAGCCAGAGAAGCACAGAGCCCCCTGAGCACACCCCGGCCCCACAAACCACCCAAGTGAGGCCTCACTGAGGAGAGGCACAAGGCAGCCGCCCTCCTGCCTTGGGGAAGGCGTGAGGCGACCACCAGTGTGGGCCCAACACCACAGCAATCATCTCAGGAAAAAGCCCTGAGCACATCAGTCCCAGCACAGGGAACACATGGTTTAACCCTACCAACCTGCTCCACAGCCCCAGCCAGCGCTCTAGAGAAGCAGATAAAATGGATGAAACGCAGTGCTTTCCTCCTGTGGTGCTGCTCCGGCCCCTCCACAAGCTCTGTGAGGGTGGAGCTGGCCCAGGTGTCCCCTGTTACCCACCCAGCCCCACAGCTGAGGTCCCTCAGGACTGGATTGTTCCAGAAGCTCCCTCAGGACTGGATTGTTCCAGAAGCTCCCTCATCCATCGGCTAAGGCCCTACCGCAGGTTTTAGCACACACTGCCACAGACATGGCTGTGCTCTAACAGCAGCAGCATTCCTGGAGCACACAAACCCCCTTTCTGTGGTGGCCAGGAGGAGCTTCTGCTCCATAGCATTGACATCAGTGGCCTGTTTTGTCCTCCATGTTAGACTGGGTGGATACAGAGGGTAGATGCCCCTGGCCCACCCCATGTACATTAGACTTTGTCGTGATGTCCATGCACAGAACTCTCTGGAAATATCCATCATGCTGACCGGACTTATGAGCTGGCTGCTCAGCAGACAGGAAAGTTGAGCAGGGGCAGGATAAAGGATATTGCTCTGGTCTCCAAAGACACAGGCGTGTGCCACAGCAGAAAATAGGTGGACACAACTGATGTCACTCTAAGATGCCCTTTGTTAGTAACCTGCACACAGCTACTGCTCTGGCTCAGGGTGGCTGGAGGCTCACCCTGACACTGCTGGTGCAGCCTCTGCTCCTTTTGCACACCACCAGTCAGGCTGAATTGGAGTTCTCTGTGTTCTTTGGGCTGGGACTGACCAGCAACAGCTGTTTTGGGACTCAGGGTTACCGCAACAAGGGAGGGAGAGCAGCACACAGTGGCCATTTTACCCTTGCCTACAAGGGCCACCCATTATGCAAACCAGTGGTTCTGATAGCATGTCTTCACTGCACATTCCCCATTCAAAGGTGGGGGGAACCAGTTTCTAAAAGCTACAGCCAAGGCCAGGTTACCATAAAGTTATTTATACAAGGGATATCAGAGGGCCAGCTTCATGAATGGAGAGCTTCTATGAGCTTCTGTAAGCTAAAAGGAAGTATGCTATGGCCCCAGATTTGATTATCTGCTGGAGGCAGCACCATGGCACTGATGAGAGATTTCCAAGGAGAACTTTGCAGAACTAGGAAGGAGTAAAAGTAAGGATTAACAAGCCTTTCTGCTCTACTTTTTGTCTAACACCAAAAGAAACACATTTGTCTGACCTGACGTACAGTTACATACCCACATCTTATGGCTTGCTCTATCCATCTACGACTTCATTAGCAAAAGGTATTTAGGGTTGGCCTGATATTAAGCGGCCAGAGAGAATGCATTAGTCTAGAAATGGATTATTAAATTCCAGTGTCAAACTGACAAAGTCAATAAATACAGTGGAATGCAAGTGCTTTAATCATATAATGCTTCATGTGTACTTAACTGTTAAAGTTCTCATACAGTGGGGTTTCAGTCCTGTTTATCTTCCTTGCCTCTTCACTTTTCTTCTGCCAGGCTTTGCCCTACTTCAGTTTGTAGCACTGTCAACTGAGTTGCCTACATCTTCTTTGGGAACTGCCCTTGCTCAGCAAAGTGGGCCCAGTCATCACATAGGGATCCTAAAACCAGGGAATGCAAGCCACTCACACAGTCAAAGGATCACAAATCAACTCCATTTCTTCTAGGCAGAAAAGAACATGCTTTCAAATTTATGGGAAGACTTTCCCCTTTCAAAATGCAAAGAAAGATGAAGTAGAATGCAGAAAACTGCTGCCATTAAAATTATGGGATGCAAAACTGTGACAGCTTCATCATCTTACTTGCCAACTCAACAGCAACACTTGAAGGATTATCTTCAAATCACCTCCAGTTCAATCAATCACTTGTTTTTAAAATCACATTTTTGCAGAATCCCCTGCTGTATTTGCCCCAACACTGGATAACATCAGTAACATAGATGAAGCCAAGCATTTCTAGACAGAGGACCAGAATATGTCTTATTTTTATTTTAAAGAATTAAAAGACAGCATTCAGTGGAGATTTTTTTTACTTGGTAGTTGGCATTGTCTTCTGATCAGAGTTATCAGGTAACATATGCTGCTCTGAGCTAGAACCACTTCACACCAGAAGCCTATCTGTGGGTCTTATTTCAGCGAAATTATTTCATTCTCAAAGAAAGCTTAAGTTTTTGTTATGGAGATAAGAAGTCACATCCATTTTTGGAATGGCTTTCATTTTCTTCATCTCCTCACTTACTCTGACAAGGATTAAACTGTATTAACAGAACTGGATCACTTTTCTCCTGCTTCAGACTGAATTCAGTTTAAGTTCTAAGCTTCCATTCATTCTACCAGGATTTTTCAAAAATGCTCCTGCTGGCAAAGCACTGAATGATTCTCAGCAACCACTCACATCAGAAAGTATCTAATTCTCTACACTTTCTCCAGAAGTATATGTATGTAAAGATAAAATATAAAAAAATGCAGAAAATTCAAGGTAGATTTAAGGGTTGGTTGTTTCTCGGGTTTGATTTTGATCCCAATTGCACCGAAGCCTACAAAGGTGTGTTTAAACAAATAAAGCAATGCCCTCTAGTGTTCTGCAGAGAAATTTGGTACAAGGCTGACCGAAGCCTTTGAAAAGTCAAGTTTGGGATTGCCGTGCCATCTCAAGTGACAGCCCAAGTTTTAACAGCTTAGGGCTCAGATACAGCATCCTTACGATGTTCTGCACATAACTGTGCCCTGCAGAACTATTCAGGATCCTTTCCTTCCATCTGTTGCCGATGCTTGCACCAGAATTTCATGTCAAAAGATGGAGGTGTTCTCCGAGTATACACTGATGGCTTAAGGAATACCTGGGAATAAAAAGGACTTTTGAGAATCAAACAAAAGCCTGATCCCTTCCTTCCCAGAGTTCACAAGCAAATGAAATCCACCACCTCTATCATCATCCACAAATACTACTCGCGGACAGCTTTTTGTCTTCCCATCCATGGTACGTGACAAATCACATAATAATAAACCTGCACCTTCCCCAAGTACACACAGCATTTGGGACCCTGTGTTACTGACCCTCCACACAAGCAGGATATCATCTTTGGCTTGACGAACTCTCTTGCAGAGCTCCACAGCTTAGTGGATTTCCTCACAGCAGTAGCATTCCCAAGATATTCATAAATTGCAAAAAGAACTATCCCAAGCGTAAAGATTTAAATAAAGCAGAGCATTCTCAGTTCTGGAAAAACTGCAAACCTATCAAAGTATTTATTTACACCTTGTATCACACAAAGGACTGAGAGAGCTTTTATAACTGGAGATCTGAAAAGCAAAAGGCAAGGTCCTTGATGAAGGCTGCTCTTAAATGTCCTTAAGTTGTACCATCCATTGCTCTTGAAAGACAACTGCTGGGGTCTTATTGTTTAGATAGAACAGAAACTTGAATACCTTTGACCAAACTTTTAATCACATCAAGTACTTTTAAAATAATTAACAACAAAAAAACCCATGTTGACCATGGGACTTCCCCTGGCACTTGTGATGAGCCTCTTCAGGGCACTATGTTTGAAGCCCTTTTGCCTGAGGCTGCAATACAGAATTCGGATGTAGAAGTGGGATCAAATTATGAATTTGTAAAATTAGGTTTAAGATTAGGAACACCACTTTAAAATTCAAATTATATTCCCCTCTTCTCGGAGGGCAACTAATACATATTCCAGCTAAACAAGCAGATAGGGTTTTTTTTTCCTGTAATGGTGAGTGGTTACTGCCAAGCATCCCGCCCTGCAAATAAGTTATTTTTTATCTTGTTATACACATAACAAGATTAAGGGAGAAAAGAAAGTAGTTTAGAGACTATCCAAAAGACAGCCAAGGGAGGACATCCAATGTTTTCGCCACGGCACTAGGAACTATTATTTCTTAGGTCTGACACAATACATCTGTAACTGGTTGTATGCACAGAATACTGTCCTAGAGAAACTGCTTGTATATATATTTATAAAATAAAAAGGCTTTCAGGATCAGCTTTTTCCCTGTTATAGTTTTATTTGCAGGGAATAGTGTGGGGAAATGACCACTCAAATTCAGGATACAAAATAAAAGGAAAAGATCTGGGAAATACATGTATCGACGTCAAAACCCAGTCTCCAGCCTCACTGAACACAACAGCTTTTCCACTTGTCAGTTTAGTCAACAGTCCAGTGCCTTTCAGACACATTCTCACCTTCTCCAGGAAGCGGCAGAGCCACCTGAAAGAGATGGAGGAAAATGCCCCAGCATTCATCATGGAGAGACAACACACACCAATTGTCCTGTCTTGACACAATGTGTATTGTTTTGCGGGGCTGGGAGCATTCTACCAGTACTTCACTTTGGAAAGATGCCATGAGTGTCAGGCACTGAAACTGCCCGAATTGCATGCAGTTTCAGCAGTGAAGCACAAACCGAGCTCCTCCATTCTTCTCCTTAGCCCTCTTCTTGCACAAGTGTTTTGCTACGAGACTTGTGATGGTGCATTCTCCTTATTTTCCTTCTGTGTCACTATCTGCAGGTACTTCAGTCGCATGGGAGGGAGCTGCTCATAAAGGTCAAATCCCAAAGGCCTCTCTGCATTCGGCAGTCTGTAGTACAGTAGGTGCTTTTTTAAGGTCTGAAGAAAGAAATGGCAGATATAAAGCATGTTGAGAAGAACCTAATCTTTTCCACCCTGTCCCCAACACAACACAGCAACCTGCCAGATGGGCATAATGGAATTGCACTAACATATCAATTGCATCATCTTAATGGAAAGAGGTTTAAAAGGCGAGTTTCTTCCTCTCCCAGCCCTTTCACACAAATGATAAGGCTTTGAAGCTCCCAGAGAAACAGTACATCTGGTTTGTTCTTTTCAGGGGAAGCATCCAACTAAGAGTAAAGGGTGATCACTGCTGGCCACCTACTCATAGTTGTGCCAGAATCATCCCTCTAGGACCTCCCATGATCCTGATATAATGCTGCTTGGGCAAGAGGCATAGAAATACAGTAGAATAGATTCATCTAGGTTCCAGAGGGCTCTGTTTTGAGTGCAATTACTACAAGTACTGGGAAACAGTATTTATAGCCATCACAGGTCAAAATCCTGCTAATCTCCTCTCATTCTCAAGTTAGCAAGGCAGTTAAATTTCAAAAGCCAAAGATAAATCTGTAAGAGTACTGCATCTGAAAAACTTAATTCCCAGTGGCACAGACTGAACCTGACAGATCCTACCTCATCCACCAACAGCCACGTCTTTCGCAGCATGCTTTTCCGAGCAGCATCTGTCTCCTGGGAAGAGAACACATACTTTGCTTAATTTGGTGCACTGCTATCTTGGTCCACAGGTAGCAGTCCAGGAGGACACTTTGTTCATTATGACAACGCTCCAAAGAGCAGCTTGTTCCAGCAGAAAGGGCTCGAGATGGCTATTACTTGGATCTTGCCTTGCTTCTCCTTTCCCTGACCTGAAACTCATCTGACTTCTTCACTTTCAGGTAAAACTATAGATCAGAGGTGAAATGTTAGCAGAAGTAATCACTGCTAGAGGTCCCAAGGCCACAGGAGGGCTTCTGCTTGGTTATTCAAGCAAGTGAAAGAACAGTCTGCACATTAATAAGACTGCCCCAGGCAGAGGCTAAATCTATTACAAGCTCTCTCTGCCTGATCAGGTCCCTTAGCCTCTCCATTCAACCCCCGTGTACCATAGCCCACATAGTTGCTGACTTCAAAGGTTTATGTAGGACTGACTACCACTAATGCAAGTGCTTTAGGGTATAATGAACAAGAGCTGCTGTCTGTGTCTCATCTGTGGATTCTCAAACAGCTGACCAATCCTCAAAACATTCACTTACAATCTTTGTTTTCAAGCCCAAGGTCAGTAATTCACCACAAGCCACACCGGACCCTTGGTAAGAGCAGATGCAAACCCCAAAGCTTCCAGCCCCGAGGCTCTGCTATACATTACCCACCCGTGTTGTGCTGTCCTGGGAGAAAATAAAGCTGTTCACATGAGCCACAGCCACCACATAAAGAACAGGGCACCAGTTGTGGCGCAGCGTGCCAGTGACGAGTGTTCGGAAGTAGAGTCGCAAGAGGTTCAGGTTATCCTCAGGAGGGGAAGTGTATCGCTCAAGAGGTACAGGGAACTGCAACAAACAAAGGCAACATTACAGTTTTTGTCAGGGTCTAGGTACTGAGGGGAAGTTCATGACTTTAGGGTGCCTTTCCTCAGCTGTCTCTGTACACACTCCTATATAACATGATATACCTCAGTGGCACCACCTCCATTTGGAGCAGCACTGTAACTGCCCACGTTGACTAATGTGACATGCCTTTGACAAAGCATCCTCAAGACTTATTCAGCTTTACAGAGAGATGTTTTGCTGATTAAATCACTGTGGCTGCTTCTTGGCACTAGTAAGAATAGTGGTTTCAAAGTGAAGAGGCAAAGAACTTTCAACAGCACTAATTCCCACTAATACCAGAGGCTTACACTGATCTGTGCATTTAGCCAGAAAAGAAAAGCAGATATATGTGCCAGAGTTAATGATTTTAAGTGAAGTTTCCATCATTTTCCAATTTCACTGTCTAGCTTTGAAAGATAGGTTAGAAAAGCTTATAGTAACAACTTGGTTTTATTTGCTTCTCCCCTCTCCAGAAGTCCAATTTTAGATAAGTTCTTTAGGGCTAAAATGAGATATTTCATTTTGAAGCATCTTCTTTACAGGTTTAAAGACAATCATTGACATTACTCCATTCAAAATACAGTCTGCCCTCTATGGTCATTTTAACTCAAGAAAAAAGGGGAGAAAAAAACCTTCAAACAAACGCCACCTCAAGTGATCAGATTTTCTAACACATAGTTTGTTTTCAAGCAACACAGCAATGAAAACATTGCTCAAACTATGTGGCATTTAAAAAAACATTCTAAGCACATGAAAAACAATCTGCCTTGAAATGTTCTCCATTGTAACATATGACACAGGTCTGAGAATACTGAAGGATGTGATGTCAAGGGATCAACACAAGACAAAGTATGTGATGTAGAATCAAGGCTTTCAGCTAGAAGATAGTGTTTAGCTCTGTTTCTACATATATTTGTGGTACTGGAATAGAAGGAAAGGTAGGCTACTGGGAACATCAAGAAAAGAGAGCTTACCACAGGTCAGAATATCTTGCCTTACCTGCTTAAGAAACAAAGGCTCATCTGGTCATAACGATATAGAAAAATTGGCTGCAGGGCTACTACAACCAAAGCAAAAGCACAGCAACCATACAGTGGAAAGCACTGATCTCACAAACTGCTGGTTCCTAGTTCTTTGGAAAAAAGTTTTGAAAGGTTATCTTTGTATTAGCAAACTTCAGGCTAGATGAGGTATTGTCTGTCAACTGCCAAAGAACTTGAAGGCAGCTACACTCCATCTCTTGCGCTCTGCTCATTCAAAAGAAATGCAGTCCTGCACTTGACAAATGAAATCTTCCTACCCAGCAAAGCACAATGCAGTGTAACTAGGTGTGGAAACATGGTTCAGAGGAAAAAATAACTGTTTCTCCATGCACTGGGAAAGGAAAAGGCTCTCACCAAGGTGAGACAAGACTTATTTAAGGGAAAGGTAATTGCTGGCAGAAGAACATAGGGTGCAGACTAGCCCTTCATACATACAGGCTATAAACTAGAAGGAGGTTCTCAATCATTAAACCAAGCAGGGTATGGGACAGTTTCCACTGAAGACTGAACACATACACACACACATACTGCTCTCAAAACAAAGTTCAACAGGTTTCTGTGACAAGGGCCTGCACCTACAGAGGATGGGCTCTGTTCTTCAGACTTGCATCAATCAAGCTGTTTTACCATCCCATACCCAAAACCAAATCAGTATCAACCAAAAAAAACATACACACTGCTGCCATAGCCCCAGATCAAAAGAACATTGCTCTCTCCATACCTGCTCTATTTTACATTGCATGTGTTGCACTTTCTTCAGAGTGAATGAAAAGCCTCTAAGCAAAGGGAGCATGATTATTCTACTGGATAAGGAGGAGCAAGGAAAAAGGGAAGTGCTGGGAGGATGACCAAATCAAGGTTGCAGAAACAGAGACAAAAGACCAGTGATCCAGAGATATGCAGTGACAGGCAACTACCATAAGATAGGATTACCTTCTGGAGTGGCACTCCCAGTGCCTTCAGGATACTTGTGTGCTCCCCAAAAACAGAGAGGCGCAAATGAACACTGAAACGCTTCTGTAGAGGTAGAAGAACAAAGACTCCAAAGAGTGGATCTCCAAAGGAGACAGCTTCAAACTGCTCCAGGAGACTTATGTAGAGATCATGGAAGGATGCCAAACCAGGGAGAGGAGCATCCAAGTTTAGTGAGTCCAGTGCCTTGGGTTGGCAATACAGAGACAGAAGGGCAGCTGTATAGCGGTGGATTGGTGCTTCTAGGAAGAGGTCACTGCCTGTGAGGAAGACACACATAAGCCGTGCAAGTTTGGCAGCAGTAGGGATACTCTGAAGGGTTTTAGACCGCCAGGTTTCCAGCAACAAGACCCATTGCAGGTTCCAAGTCACAGTGTTGACAAGATCAAGTGGGAGAGAGTTCAGTACAGCCCCACGTGTCTCTGCATTAGTCACTCTGTTGTAAAGGCTGATAAGTGGAAAGAACGGCCAGTCTGAAGGCAGTATGGGCCCTTTGACCTCAGGAAGCAGCATCGACTGGATGAGGTAATTCCGTCCTTGGTAGGATGCTTGGGAACGCATGAGGGTAGGCTGCAAGTGGACAAAATGAGAAAGGTAGCAGGAGCGGATGGAAGGTAGATCCTGGTATGATTCTCTCAGCAGGGCACCACGAGTAGCCCTTGAACAAGATGCTGCTGCAGAGCCAGGCTGTGCCAGTTTGGCACTGGTACCTAGATGCAGGATATCAGAGAAGTCAGCTGCTTCTGGCCCTCCAGCTTTCCCTTCACTGTAAGATAAAGAGACAAGCATCAAGTTTAAGAAACAAACAAACCACCACAAAACAAAGAAACAAAACACCACAGAAATTCTTCTCGACAGTCTTTATGGATCAGGTTGACCAGTAAGTAAACAGCATTTGCAACACTTCCTAAAGCTTTCAGCTATGATAATATTGAGTGCATGTAAAGCATCAGTTACCTTGGTATTTACAGGGAATTCACAGAACTACATCTGGAGTTCGCAACACTAAGGCCTTGCCATGAAAAATCTCCACACAATGCCAGCAGTCTGGTGTGGAGGCTAAAACCCCTTGTGTAGAGAGGCAATCCAAAATACCACCACAGCTGTCAGGGTGCTGAGATGAAATAACACATATCATAAGGCCTGTGTGAATCAATAAGGCAATTATTGGAATAGTAGTTTTACAGCTGACAGTGGCAAGGTCAGGGGAATCAAGGACTGGCAATTAGATACTTGGGTGTTTGTCAAATCCATGTGGCTCAACCTCAGACCAGAGACTCACCATGGTCTCAGATTACTTGCCAAATTCTCACAAAATGTTAGCTCTATCACAGGTATTTGTTAAAAACAACACCCTAACTGATTAGAAGGCTCCATGACTGGAGAATATGCTAATAAATAACTGACATTTGAATACAGGCTCTATTAAAAGCCAAAAATTATAATAAAATTGCAGTGCCAAGGGCCTACACCTACAGGGGATAAACTCTGCTCTTCAGACTTGCACCAATCAAGCTGTTTTACCATCCCATCCAAAACCATCCAAACAAAACCCAAGTTAGCCCATATACCAGAATACAGAAAGGAAAAATCCAAAGCTTACAGAAGAAACTCTGGATTAAAGGCAAGATCCAGTAGGACCTCGTAAGCCAGATGCTCACTCCCTGGCAACAGACGGCTTAGCAATGCCATAGCAACACAGTGATGGAGCGAGGCGTGCTGGCTGTAATCCGGACAAGTGCCTGCCTATACAGGAAACAAAACAGGGAAAAAACACTGTATCATTTGTCAACGAGGCAATCAACAAGGACAGGAGGGTCAGCTGAGACAGAGATCTCACAGGAAAGTGAGAGAGTCACCAGACTTAAGTCAGGTATGTCAATGAACATGGATGCAAGGACCAGTTGCCAGTTGGACACACTGAGCTGGAGAGGCCCATGTGAAGTCAATACCTCAGGTAAAAGCAATAAAAGGACTAGTAAGGGTACCATTCTCCGAGCCAAGGCTAGCACAAAGTACTGCAGGTGGTATTCATGGCGCAGGATCCACGCAGATGAAGGAGTCACAGAGGGAGGTCCACTCTGCCAGCTTTGATGCAGATAATCCTTCAAGCCTCTGAAGTCCAGCACAGAGCTGTACTATAAAGGAATCAGAAGTGGAGACATACTATGAAGATAGTTCATGCCTAGAGGAAAGTAAAAGGTCTGCCCCATGCCTTCTCACATGAGAATTTCTGTTGGTTACTCCAAAAGGGATTATTTAAAAAGAGCCTGAAAACTATCTGCTTTTCTGCCTCAGGGTTCACCTGTATCCACCATGACCATCCCTAGCACAGGTAACCAATATTTACTTCCCTAGTGCTTTGTAAGGCAGAAGTATGGCCAGTGGCTGAAGATGTTTTCCCCTTATCTGGCCAGATAGAATCATAGAACAGTCAGGGTTGAAAAGGACCTTAAGATCATCCAGTTCTAACCCCCCTGCCACGGGCAGGGACACTTCACACTAAACCATGTCACCCAAGGCTCTGTCCAACCTGTCCTTGAACACTGCCAGGGATGGAGCATTCACAACTTCCTTGGGCAACCCATTCCAGTGCCTCACCATCCTTACAGTAAAGAACTTCCTCCTTATATCCAATCTAAACTTCCCCTGTTTAAGTTTTAACTCATTACCCCTATCACTGCAGTCCCTAATGAAGAGTCCCTCCTCAGCATTCCTCTAGGCCCCCTTCAGATGCTGGAAGGCTGCTATGAGGTCTCCACGCAGCCTTCTCTTCTCCAGGCTGAACAGCCCCAACTTCCTCAGCCTAATTTCATACGAGAGGTGCTCCAGTCCCCTGATTATCCTCATGGCCTCCTCTGGACTTGTTCCAACAGTTCCATGTCCTATGCTGAGGACACCAGAACTGCACACAATACTCCAGGTGAGGTCACACAAGAGCAGAGGGGCAGGATCACCTCCTTCGACCTGCTGGTCCTGCTGCTTTTGACGCAGCCCAGGATACAGTTGGCTTTCTGGGCTGCGAGCGCACACTGAAACTGGCTCATGTTATGTTTCTCATCGACCAACACCCCCAAGTCCTTCTCCACAGGGCTGCTCTGAATCTCTTCTCTGCCCCACTTGTAGCTGTGCCTGGGATTGCTCTGACCCATGTGTAGGATACTCCTATGAGTAACTGGTCAACATAAGGTGACAGAGGAAGAAGGCTTTTAGAAAGCTTATGCTAGGTACTCCATCTCTCAAGGGCTCTGCCATTTCCTTTTCAGAGTTTGTAGTCTGTCATGACTCTCATACTAAAAATTCAGGACAATCAGAACAAGGAAGAAACCTCTTCAGTCACTGTAGCACTCATTCTCTTTTTTCTTCATTTTTATCTTATTTTTCTTTGTCATATATGCTTCAACCATCCCTTTCCTTCTCTGACACTCAGTTATTTATTTTGCTCAGCCAAACAAGTTATTTAACCCTTCTCAACATTCTTTATACATCCATCCTTTAAGTTTGATCATCAGTCATCTCCTGCTCTGTAATTCCAGCTTCCCAGCATCAACTGGATGCTGGAGTTCAAAGACAAGATATTCTTCAGATCCTCATCCTTTGGTTTTAGAACAAATATACATAACAATCCCTTTTAATACTCCTACTAAGTTCACTCTTAAGCCTAAGAAGATATAAATACTAAACTCCCTCAAACACATAATCATTCACTAGGACCTTACAGTAAAAGTCTATTCTCACCTTGCTGGTCAGGCCCTTGTGAATGTCAGTGATGCTGTTGATGAGAAACAGGAGGGCAGTGAGGAAGGGAAAAGGTGACTTGGAGCCAACCAGGCTCAAAGGAGGTTTGCCTCCAGTGCAACTCAGAGATGCAATGCTGAAGACAGATTCTGGTGCTGGGGAACAGGACAGAGGGTTGCACAAAGCAGAACATGGCCTGTGTGAACAGATAAAAGAGAGGGGTCAGGTCAAAAGCACTTACACTGCTGAAAATTTATCTTGTTGGAATGTTACTATCTGAAATGTGCCATACATTGCAGTAAAATGAAAGCTCTGAAGACCATGCAAGAACAAACCTAGTACCATGGTTGAGGAAGTAAGCACCATCACCATACAACCCACTGCCAGTGAGCTGTCATGAATTCTAATCTTTAGCTAAACGGTTCATTACGTGCAGAAATACTGATACAGTGATGCATCTCTGATGTCAAACATTTGAAACCATTGAGCATCTGATTAAAAAAAAAAATACACATTTCCCCACATATATATGGAAACCACTCAAATACCACTTAAAACCAAAGATTTCAAGTACCCCTTATATGAGATGTTCTCAGAAGCAGCCAAATACCTCCCTGACTACAGGCTGGGCCTTTTAGATTCCCTCCCTCCAGAGGATTGATCACGGGCTAGTAGGAAGGCTCCCTCTACAGTAGAAAGACAGAATATCTGTACTGCTTGTAACAGTTCCAGGAGCCACAGACAGGAGACAAAGGTTATGTTATCCAAATGTCTGAAAGAAGTTTGGTATCTGGCCTTTTGCTTTCCTGCGGAGGCTTTCAACCTCTGCAGAAAATATTTTAAATAGACTCTCATCTTTAAGTTTCTGCAAACTACATCATACAGAGCACGTGAATGGTACATGCACACACACTCTGTAAGAGGGACTAAAACCGATGTCACTTGTTTTAAAAAAAAAACAGTGAAACCAAAGAATCAAAGCCAGGAGTGACTAAAATCAATCTTAATATGAAAACAACTACATGAAGAGGCAGAGATGCAGACCCAGCAGCAGCACCAGTAGGAAAGGAGGAACTAGAGAACCTCTGTGGACATCATGCTTTTTGCTGTGAGGAGAGAACAAAGCAGGGTATAGACAGAGCCTGACTGCACTCTTAATTCACACACACAGAGCATGTATGTATGGGGAAAGGAATGGGAGGGGAAAAACTGGCACACTTTATAGAAGTGAATCTCCCTTAGCTTCTGGGAACAGCAGTGAAATGGCTTTACCTTAGCATGTCCCACATGCTCTGTATGGCTGGCTGGCTGAGAAGGGGCTGCAGTACCTCAGATGTCAAACGTTCCAGTTCCTCTAAGCAGTCAACTGGATTGACTGATGGCTGCAAAAGACATGGAAAAAGACAGGAAAAGATGGTGAATGAAGGCATTGCAGGTTGACTTAATTGCTTTCTGTATGTTCATTGCCTTTTTGCCAGACCACAAAATCTACATAGTGTTACTGCTCTAGGTTAGAGCTGGCCTCACAGCTGGTAGTGTGGAAGCTGAAAACTAGAACACCAAGGTGCTCTTGCACTCAAGTATCACAGAGATTTCTTAACTGGGTAGAAGTAAGGATCGTGATTTTGGGATCAAGATTCCCTAAAGGAAAACTTGCCCTAAATGGCTACCCCTCTCTCTCCATATTATCTTAAGTGCTGATCTTAACATGAAGATGACACAAAGGTGACCAGAACTACCTGGAGAAAGCAGTGTGGCACCATGACGGTCCCCCCAGAAAAACCTAAATTAAAAGCTGTATGAAGTGTGACTGACCTATCCGTCAAGCGTGACTGTGGATGAACATTGCACAGAGGAGGATCTGTGGCTTTTAGAGAACCATCTAAATTCTTCTGACCCTAGTAAGCAACATCGCAGGTTGAAGGAACATGCTGGCAAATATTAATGTTCTTTCCCTTTATTAGAATGCTGCTTTAGGATACAGAAATACTCATTTCCGTAACATAAAATCTAGTTTTCCCCAGATAAAATCCCCCTCTGCAAATCAGTATGACCTACATGAAGGTGTTAACCTTAGTTCTAAGCAGCCTAACAAAAATGTTCCAAGAAGGTCCCAGTATAGAGTAGTCTGGTTACTCTGGAAATTGGGCAATTTTAGTTTGATTTTTTTTAATCAGAGGAGCTAACCACTGATAGGTGATGGAACTTCTTTTTAAGTGGAAATAAAAATATGTCATGAAGGTTAAAAAGGAATATTAACCTCTTGGTTATCCTGGCTCTTCAATGCTCAGGACATAATAACAGCAGGTGAAGGGTGCGACCAACCTCTGGGACACTAAAGTCATCTTGGAGAGATACTGGTGGTTTCCACCCCAGCCACATCTAACAAACTCAGTTGCTCTGGGCAAGTTTCAGAGGAGCTGCATAAACGTAACTACAGCCACTAAATTACCCCTACACCGTGAAGACACTCTCCCAGGTCACACCTCGGGCACGTCAGTTGGGCAGTAAAGAGGAAAACTGCATTTATCTTTAGAACATGAATCTTTACAGTAGCTGAAGTATAAGACATTATTCTTCAACAGCATCACACTGATGTGTCGCCTTCAGAAAACTCACTTTAAAAGATACATACTTTTAAAAGGCCACATACTAGAGCTGTAACTGGGTTACAGGAGTCAACCTTCAATGTCAGTGGGGCAGCAAATAAATTTATCTCTATTGTTTCCTATCCGAAGTTCCTATGGCATGACCCTCGATGCTCAGTCTTCCAACCAGATTATTGTACTGTAGCTGTCCACATGTAAGCTACAGACCACAGCGAATGCAAAAATGTGCAACTTGATTTAGCCCATGAAAAGCAAGGGCTGCCAAACTGAATCAGGTCATATTTGCTTCATGCTTTGGATCCCTGCCATAAATGAGAACAGTCACAGCACTACCACTTACACTGACTGAGACTCTGAGTCCAAAGGAAGGAAAAGACAAGAAAGGAGGACAGTGATATTTGGCACTGCTAATGTGAAGGATCAATAGACTTATCTGACACTAAATGCATTGCAGCCTAGATATGAGCTGTGATAAACACAATCTAGTCCTCAGTGAGATGCCTCAATGCCTGTGTTTTTCAGCTTTACCTCTTAAGTTCAGGTTTTCAGAGGTAATACACAAGCTGATGCTGGTGAGATGAAAAGACAACCTGTATCTTCAGGCCTTACCTGCTGGCTACAAGCACTGTAATAAACTCCCAAGTAGATCACGTAAGTTGTGGTCAGAGGCTGGAGAGTTTGCCAGGTTTCTGTTTGGGGTATCTCCTGGAGGAATTTTTTCAGACTGGTCTCCAGGAAGGGCTGCAAGCCTGACACTTGATTCCAGGATACGGGAGGAGGAGGAACCTGTTCACAATCTTCTGAGCTATTACTGAACACAATTGGAGAATAATACAGGATAGCAAATATGTCTCAGGAACAACTGTCTCTTTAAACAACCATTTTTAACAGCAAGATTTCCAGAGGCACGTAGTCTGGAAGCTGATACCCAACAATAGCCACTAAGAGAAAAAAAATTCTTTGCACATTCCCACAGACCAGACTTAACCGATTTTGGCATCAAAAACTATGCAGAGGCTACTCAGGAAAGTCAAAGTGTCTTCATCTGCACTACTCTGTCTTCAAGCTATATGCTCTAGTGTTACTGTACTTGCTACCTCAGCATCCAGCTTTAGTTAAAAGAGTTTCTGGCTTTTCACCAGGAAAAGTACCTGTTTCTTCAGCAAATGCTACTGCTTTGATGTCTATCAAAACCAACCACCTTTTAATCCTGATCCATCTTGGTCTCTGCAGAGAGGTTCTTTCCTCCAAAGCCTGGAGAGGTTGCTATTTTTCCTCCAAAGGGAAGATCAAAGGAGCTTCCGAGCTCCTTTCAGCAGGACATTTGGCTAACACTGTGCTTGTGCCCCACAGCTGGAGGCAGGCCTCTTACCAGGCAGACAAAAAGAAGTTGATAGCCAGGTCTCCAGATCAAAGAGAGAGAAGACAGGATGCCAACTACTCAGACACACAACTGGTGACAGAGGGGGCCTACCTGCTCAGCTTGGCCTGCAGCTCTGAAGCGTAGCCTGCTGTTTGTGTCACATGTATCAGCAGAGTAACCACTGCCGTAGCTCGCTGGACAGACAACTCGGTCATACAGCTCTTCTCACTGCAAGTGCTGAGCAGCTCAGGTAGGGCCTGCAGTATCCTCACCAGCACAGGGTAGAGATCCCTAGAGTATGAATCACAGAATAGATGAGGTTGGAAAGGGTCTCTGGAGATCATCTATAGTTCAACTCCCTGCTCAAGACAGGTCAGCTAAAGCAAGTTTGCCCAGCACTTTGTCCAGTTGAATTCTGAGTATCTTAAGGGATGGAGAGTCCACAATCTTTCTGTGAACCTGCTCCAGTGTTTGATCACCTTCACAGGTGTAGGAAATATTTTTTACTAAGTGAAATTTCCTGTATTTCCATTTGTGCCCATCACTTCTTGTACTTCCACTTCATACCACTGAAAGAACCTGCCTCTACCTTCTTTGCATCCTCCCATTGCACAGAGATTGCTAAAATGAGGTTATGAGAACCACCATCACCACCAAATAACAAAAACAAACAGCCATGTGAAAAAAGATGACAAAAAAGAATATTGTCTTTTATATGAATAGGACCTCCCTAATACTCTGCCTCCAAGAAGATAACCTCATGGAAAAAGCTATTTTTATTTTATTCCTGATTCCTTAGTTCTCAAATTCTCAGCCAAATGATTTGCATTATCATCAGCGGCGATAATGCAAACTCAAGGAATCTTCTGCTTTTTGTCTTTCCTTGATGTTATTTACAATGCAAAACTATATACAGTTTTTACTCTTCATTAACCAATTCACCTGATTGGGCTGGAGAATACAATGTTGCATAGGAACAAATCTCACTTCTGACTCCCTTGGCCTCCCTTTTACTTTTCAGAGCAACTACACAGCCATCTCTGTGCTTCCAAGTCAGTGCAATTACAGGAATAAGATTCAATGCTTGAGATAGCTCAGACTTATCCCAGCGCAGACCCTGATGGTCATGCACAAGAACTTGTACCAAACTGAAAGTGGACGTGGCATGCAGCTTGCGTGCATCACTCTGCCTCACTCGGCATTGCACGCTGGTGACTGCTGCCCAGACTGCCTTCAGATCATCAGATTCAGCCCTAAGTGTGCTGCAAACTATGCGTGCTGATGTCACACAAACACAGATTATCCATGCCTTCAAAGGGAAAAAAGAAGCAGCCCTAAAAAGCTGGGGTGATCTCCCATAGTATAGAGGGGAAACAACAAAATATCAATCCTTAAACACAGGAGACAAAGAACAACCAGAAAATACAATACTCAACTCAAATACCCATAAGGAACTTGGAATTTTACTGCAGGAGGCCACAGATAAGACTTCAGGGAGATAAGACTCCCTGAAGGGAGGTAGAAACCAAGCCTGGAAATCCCTATATTAGCCTCTCTGGAACAGGGTGTCTGTTTTCCCTGTTGTGCCTCCCACCCTCATTTCTCCAGCTTTAGACTGTACCTGTAGAGATCACAGGCTTGACCATAGGCAGCAGCCACAGCCCACAACCGGAAGGCTTCAGTGCTTAGCCTGATGGCTTCTTCCCTTGGCAGCAGCAGATCCACTGGGTCTTCAGCTATAAAGCGACTCAACCGACTTTTCATTTCAAATTTGTTAAGCTGGAAACCAAACAAACCAGAGAGAAAAGAATAAACAACAGAAAAAGACAAAGGGCTAAGATGTATCAGCTGCATACATCATCACCACATTACTCTGACACACCAGAAGAGCTGCATATTTCAGTTCAGCTCATTCTCAACTCCTCTTGCCCTGCTCAAATCTGCCTTTATGTAATCTCAAGGAGCACACTTCAAAGGATCAATAAATGGTCAAAGGCTCTTATGAGAGAAGTATTCCTGGAAGGGACGCCTAGGTGTTACCTAATCCGTTTCTAACACAAATCAACTACACATAAATCATTTCTGACAGAGGTTTCTCCACCTTACACACTCTTGGTTTGGATGCTCTCTGCAGTATTTAACTGATTTTAAGAAAATACATGTTTATCCTTCTTTAAGTAGTCATAACTAGTACTCTATCAATCAAGATTACATGCAAAGATACAGCTAATGAAAAACACTGTATACAAAAGTACTGAATTGATGCTGCTTTTGGTTTTGGGAGGTCAAACTAAATGGCTTTCAGAGGTCCTACAACCTAAATCTTTCTATGATTCTAACTTATTTCACAAAAAGGGTGCCTCCTGCATATTACTTTTATAGGATGATAGCATTTTGATGCCTTGGAAATGTTCTGAGGCTATTTTGGTGTTGAATTAAGCATAGGCATGACTCATTTGCAGTTCTCTAGAAATAATTTTTATCCTCCCCAACAACTGGGTATTTTTGTGGAGCCATTAAAAAAAAAAAAAAAAAAAAAGGAGCTTCTGTCTTCCTCTCCCCCATATAAAAAAAACCTTGTGTGTGATCTGTCTAAACAAATGAGGTAACAACGTCTTTTTCACAACACAAGGACATATTATAGATAACTATAAATTCAAATGCTTGAGACATCCTGTAGGGAAATCAATGCACGCCAGCAAGAAATCAAAAGGAGCTGACGAATCAAACGATGAATTCTGACACCACTCCTACAGAACAGAGGGCAAAGTCAAACTTACTTCCAGTGGAGGAAGATGGAAGAATTTTGTTGTTAGCTGAAATAAATTCATGCATTGATGATTTTGATTTAGTCTGTTATTATCTTCCATTCCCATGTTCAAGTGCATGTAACAGGACATATGAGAGTGCAACAGAACCGAAGCCCAAATAGTTTATTGTAAACAATAAACCTTGTGGATAAAAGCAAGTGGAACCTTGTAAGCAATTTTTGCATGCCTTGATATACCTGGAGTACACAAAGCCTGAAACAGAGTAAAATTCAGAGATTTTCTATTATGCTACTATGACCACTTACAGCCTTTAAATATCCCACTATCCATTATCAGCATGTTATTCTATGTATTTTATAGCACAGGCTGGTGTTCTGCTGCTGAGGTTAGCAATTTACTGGATGGCAATTTATTAGATGGCATTAACAATACTAAACCAAAAACCCTAAGAAGTGCTCACTGCACTGTAATGGGTGCTGCTCATGGTAGACGTTATGCATTTATAGCATCAGTACGATGACCTATATGAGTGAATGCAATTATCTCTGAAGTAGAAAACCTGTCCAGAAGTAGAGAAGAGGAGTTGGAAACACTGATAAATGCCCTCAGAGTTATTAAGACAAATTAATGGAAGAAAAGTCCAGCCAGGGTCATAAAACACAAGGATAGCAATTTAGTCTCTGGTTTCTACAGTCCTGCCTGTCACTGGAACATGGGAGAGCACAGAGCATCACACACCATGTGCTCTAAACATCTGCTATTGGTCAGTATCACTGGGGTGTGCTATGTGATTTTGCATACAGCAAAAACCTTGAGGCAGCTCTTCTACTGGTACACAGCAGAAGCATCATTACTAGGACACTGTCAATAATTCCTTCAAAACACACATGCACCATCTTCACAATGATTATTCCAGCTTCAGCTCAGTCACCTCCATTTAATTTTCTGTCTTTACTTACACAAAACAAAGGCCTTTGCAATCAGAAAAGCTCTTCTGAGAAGCACTCACCAGCCTGGCTGTTGCATTTCGGCCTCCACATGCCAACACTCTGATGAATTTCATAGCAGTGGCACAGGCAACTCCATGGAGGCTGGTGAGCAGACACCCTGGTTCTGCCACTTGGGGATCCCACTGAGTAGGGAGAAATTCCCTGACAATGGTCTCAATCAACCGAGGACAGTCAAGCAGCTGAAGAGAAACAGCAGGCACTATAACTAAGGCAGCACAAGTAACTAAAGGTATGCAGTTATGCAGACATAGAGAAGACATGCAAAACACAAAAGTTTGTTTGATCTCCTTGCCATAACTTTACCTGCTTCTTTCTTCCTTTATTCACACCTTTCTCTATCATTCCCCAGCTCCTGTACAGTGGGAGATTTACCTGGCTGCATGCTTCAGAAGAGTGCCTTGCTATGTGGGTGAGGATATGCAGTATATCTAGGACTACTGTTGGAACAGGTCGTACCACCTCCAGGATGTATCTCAGCCGGTGCTGGATCCGTGTCTTCAAAAGTCCCTGGGGGGAGAAAGGGGAGGAATGAAAAAATCCATTATACTCTTTACAATTGCTCTCTGAAATGCAGTTGCTGGAAGACAAAAGGAGATTCAATTACATCTCCTGCAGGGTGAGAGTTTTAAAATTACCAGTGGGGAGTCAAAGAAATAAGTTTCTGTGGATTTGCTAGTACATAAGCAAATGAGCAAGACTAACTGAACTTCTGTTCTGAATCCAACCACTAGTGGGGTTTGGATACTTATATTTTTATATTCTGGAAAACAGAAGTAATAGGGAATAAGAAAATAACCTTCCCTATAAAAGACTACTAAAATCTAATGTAGATGAAAAGGGTTCTCATGTTCCTTGAATCATTTTGGGTAGACACCACCTCCAGCACTCTGCCAGATAGTATCTGTCATGTTAGAGAAAGCTGACAGAAGCAAAGAACAGACCCAAATTCCTGGTTTGCAGCAGGAAAAGAGATGCAGAGAGATGATGTGATTTTTATTTTACATTTCACAGAGAAGAAGACCGTGATCAGTGGCAATGCTGGGAAACAAGTCTTCAGTTTAAGTGACAGCATCACACACTCCTAGCTCTGAGAAAAGGCAACTCCGTAACACCCGAGTTCATAGTACTGACACTTCTAAATAGCTGCAGCCAAGCAATGTTATAGTGCTAGGCCTGACTGAGTTCAGATCTAGTTTAAATACTCCAACAGTGTGGAGTAATTGGGTTACAACAGCCAGTAACCAGGTGTGAAATGGAATTTCACAACAACCGTGTAGAGTGGAGAATTTTGTCTCAAATATCTCCTGAGATCATGCCACTTGGAACAAGTTAAAATCCATTATGCTGAACCACGCAACTGTTTCCAGACTCACAAACTGATCTCATGTCTTATCGACAACTCTTTTGTTAAGCTTTTTAAACAGTGTCGCCTAGTGGATACGACTGAAATCATGAAACCTCTAAACAAGACCCTATGCCCAAGTACCCTATGCCGAAGTGCCATTGGAACACAGGCTCAAGGACTTGGATTAAGTGATGACTTAGTGACAAGCAACTAAATGAAGGTTTTAATGATTGCAGCAGGGAAGAGAGTTGCACCAGCTCCACCAACGCTGAATACAAGATAACAAAGATTGCTATTTTTAAAACTCCTGTTAGGAATGTGGGATTAGGCTTAAATATGTGAGCAATTCCTTCCAAATGACGCAACTACCTTGGAAATGCAAATATGAAGAACGAAACTGGAGAAATGCTAAGTAGCCAGCTTATGTCAAATATAAAATGTCATTGCACAAATCTGGCTAGTTCTGAACTATCTAGCTGTGATGATCATTTTTAAATTCACAGAAGTGCATACAGACACTTTAATAATGGTTGGAACCTTTCCACTTTTAACTCAAGTAGGTGAGCTTGAAAATCATGTCTGTATGCAGTCTTCCAGCAAGTCTTGGAAGGTCACCGGTATGCTTGTTGCCAATTTCCCTAGAGGAAGGTAAAGATACTTAATGATACTAAAATCACACATGTCAAGTCTCAACATTTTTAGAGATCAATAAGATTACCCTCCTGGTAATATATGACAGAAACAAAACATCCAACAGCCAGGGAAGAGTTCTAATTGTTGTTTGGAATGTTAGTAATAACATCCACAGGAGGGTAGATGGTTCAACAACACACACAGATCCTATTTTTCTAAAAGGATTTCAGCTCTAGCTCTATGCTTACCTTCACAACATCATATCGGGCCACGTCTGGATCTGGCTTGTTTTCATCTTTTAACTTTTTATCTTGAGACTTCTCTGCTCTATTTAATTCTTCATCTTCTTCCTCCTCCTCTTCCTCCTCATTGTTGGGGACAAACGGGAATGCAGCCATTCCTTGGTACCATGAGAAAGTCCAATCAAGATATTTCTGTAAGAAGAGTAAAGACACATAAACTGAAATTCTCACAAGGAAGTCATGGAAGACATAAAAAATTCAAGGATGCTTTTGATTATAGAATGCTTTGCTGATTCCCACTTAACCCCAGGAAAATAGTAACACCATGAAGGTGACTGTGAACAGGTACAAACAGAAAGCAATGCATTTCCACAGAAGTGATTTTAACCTATGACCCACACACACTTGAGAAACCATGCAAAGCAATTACTGTGAGGTGAATTAAATTCACTACACAGGTTAACAGAAACACAGCTTAACTGGAAAATGTTTAAGTTACAAATAAACAAACCAACCACCAAGGCTCTAGAAGTTAAATCAGAATTTGCATTTATTGGCTCTATTCCCATTCCTGGACCTGTGTGAAACCGAGGTTACAAATAACACAGAATGGTGATGTAAAAAGTGCTACGTTAGAATAAAAGAGTGCCTGGTGTGTTTGTTCATGTTTGTTTGAATGCCCTTCAGCTTCAGCAGATTAAACAAAACCCCCTTCTTTGTTCACAGCTAATGACAGTGTCAGATACTTTCAAGATCTGGGGCCATGCTGCAGTATGTGAGATTGCTCCCATAACAGACCTAGCTCCCTCAAAGTGTTTTAAAACATAAAGGATGGTCAAACTGAAAGTTTGCACCGCTAAGAGCTGCTTTAGATTTCCACTTCCTGAGAAGAAAATTAGAAGTAACTACCAACTAGTCAGAAAATATGTGACAGCCTTCAACTAAACCCTGAGCTGGTTCGAAACATTTCAAATGCAAGTGCCAAGAAGTAGAAAGTATTATCAAGCATTAAAAAAAGTAATAAAAAGGCAATATAAAGCCAAGTTGGTGGGTGAGTGAATGACATGGTCAGAAGAGGCCTGACTTCAGGGGATGAAACTACGTGTCCATCTGGAATACAGAGTTTGGGACTGTAGCCTTCCTTCCACAAAAAGAAGGAAAAGCAAAACAGAGTATCTGGGTCTTCGAAGTAAACGGAGAGAAAGGTGCTTCCTTTCCATAGCCATTTATGAACAAACAATACCTTCAGGCAGCATCATTTTTATGTGTGTTCACCTTCTGTGTTTATAGTGGGGATAAATCATGTTTGTTTTACAAATCCTGGAGCAAAAGGCCAGACCTCCAGCCCTGTCCCTTCCTCAGAGACCTTTTGAAACCCAGCAGCACAAAGACACAAAGCAGAAACAAAGAAGGCACAAAGAAGGACTTCCCGAATAAGAAAATATACAGACACAGCACTCACAGTGCTGCTTTTGGCATCGAGAGAGTCAGCAATCCCCGCTTATACAAGACATCACACCACAAGCTCTGATCTGAGAATTAGAGCACTACAGACAGTTATAAACCAGAATAATATCAGAGAAAAGAAAAGCACATCAAGAAGCTGATTCATAGCATTCACAGCACTTACAATGGGTGGGCAGGACTTCTACTAGAAGCAGAACACCATTACTCATAGCTTAGAAAAGGAGCAAGATGTGGAGAAAGCCACCTAGTCCTTCATTTTAATTGCCTCCCCGCTAGGGATAGCTCTAAAGGCCCAGGAGAAGTTGCAAGGGGCTTCTTGAGATCTACCCACTCTCCTCTATCACCAGCCTCTTTGCAGTCAGACATAATAGCAGTTCTCATGAAAGGAACTTGAAACACAGCCTAGAGCATACTTTGTCTATAATGGACTGCTTCTGCCCAATCAGGAAGACATCTTAATCTTGCTGTTCAGGGCTCTCTAGTATCTCTGAACACCCAAAAGAAGTTTCAATCTCCTAACGGGTAAAAAAGCATCAGGAAAAAAAATACACACATAAGAAGGCAAAATTAAGTATTTATAAGAAAAGCACATAAGGACAGCAGAAAATGGACAATGAGAGAAAACAAAGACAGTATCATTCTGAGGCTTAAGGGGAAGCAGGGAGAATATTTAATCTCTTCAAAAGCAGAAAAACTACAAAACAAGAAGCCAACAAAAGAGACCATATTAAAAAAATAAATTATACACATACATTAGCAGTAGCCTGATCTAGATTGTAAAGATGTAAAAAGGAACAGAACCTCAGCAGCCTGCACTGGATTCATCATGGAGCAGAGCTAATTCAAACAGGACAAAAAGACATCCTGAGAATCTCTCAAACTGGGATAACACACTGCCTTGTCTGTCCCAACGCACAGCAATTCTATTGACTATTAAGCTAACCCATCCAGCAAGCCTTTGTTTAAGCCACTTACCATGTCTTCTCATGCTGATTCCTGTAAACAGTTCAGCATGAAATCAAACCCAGGCAGTCAGTAATTGTCTCACCTCATCATCAAGTGACACTAGCAGAGCCTGGAGAGCACCAACAGCTGCTGCCATGACATTATCCACTGCATCATCCAGCGAGAAGCGCAGCAAGAAGAGAAACCCCGCATCAAGCAGCAGACGCAGAATGCTGCCCTTCAAGGAGGAAACAAACTCTCCAGCCCTGGCCTGAAATACATATCACACAGCCAGTCTTAAAGCTGTCTCATTCTACATGCTTTCCTCTTCCCATTTCTACTGTAAAGCAGCTAAACAGAGTGTCAGGGGTTTTTCCCTTATTTTCTCCTCCTCACATTCCACAGAAGCATGTAACATCAGTTTCTTAATGCAAAAACCTTTCTTTCTAAAGCCTGGAAGCATCTCCTGACTTCAGCCTGTTCTGCCCATCATTCTTCTCAAAATCACCCTGTTTCTTCTCTGTCTCCACTGCTATTAGAGGGCAGGTTGGCACTTCCTCTAAGAGTTAGGCGGAAATGCGCACAGAAGTAAATATTCATTCTGCTTTATGCTATTGGCACATAACTCTGAGTAGGTTGGTTCATACAGAAAAAGCACGCTATGAAGCTGGCTCAGGCAACAGGAGTGAAAGGGTCACTGACAAGGATATAGGTTTGTCACAAAAGTAACACCAAAAAAACCCCCAAATTTGTGTCCAAATCAACAAGAGAACTGAAGCTTCAGCACTGCTTCTGAACAACACTTGGAAGCATCTCCCTCCAGAGAAACCTGAAACTCAGTTTGCCCAACACTTAACTTTTCTAACAGTAATGACAATCCCAGTGAAAAAGAATCCCCTGCTGCTGATTTTTCTCACTTTCATTGCATAGTACAAAGCAAACAACTTGTACCAGAGAACTCTGATCCTGACCCACCAGAAACCTGAATTATGGGAAGGAGTTCCACAGGAACTGACTTACCTTTTGAACAATGCGACCCAAGACCTGCAGAGCCAGTGTCCTTTGTTGAATAACTTGGCTGCGAGACAAATGAAAGAGCTCTTGGAGAGAATAACCAGCCCTCTAAATGGGGGGACACCAAAACAAAACAACAAAACAACTCAGCTATAGGTATAAACAGGCCCCTTCAAATAAGATTAACTGTGAAATACTACATAATGGGAGATAAACTGCAATGCACTGTTATTTGCTGCTTTGTGGCAATTGCAAAAGAGTTTCTAATCGTTGCTATGACAGGAGAAAACTGAACTTCTTAAGAAAAGGATGCATGTGCACCTTTTTTCAACACCATAAATCCTCAACGGCATTAAAGAGAAAAGGCATTAATGGAGCTTTCTGCAAGTGAAGCAGTTAATGTATACAGACCAGCTTCTCTTCAGGAGCTTGTTTCAAAAGAAAATCACCTGTCTGCACTTTCCTAAGGTTTTTGTTATTAGAAGGCCTTTGCACAAAAGGAATCTGCCAAATTAAACACAGGAAACAAACGTGTGTATCCTTTCTACTACATTACACCCACCTCTGCCTCTTCTCCATGGTGATGCAGGCCTAGATGTGTTGGTAAGTCAGCATCTGCAGGAATCAATTCTCCTTTTAAACTGAATCGAGCTTGCATTCCCTACAACAAAAGGGTGGAAGGAGAAAAAGATTGTTTCTATTGCCTTCCACTCCATTCACCACTTCAAACACCAATTCTTGTATCGGCTGCTGCAAGGGAAGAGTTCAAACACTCCTCAGCTCAGACCTCAAATTCTTAAGAACTATTCCCCACTTTCTTAGCTTTCAGACCTGTTTCATCTCTGATTACAGCTGGCAGACTTTCATTTCCCAGTTCTCTTGAGCACGACAGCCTGAACTGTCCACCTATCATCCCATCCTGTGGAAAAAAATGGGAAATCTCCCAGCCCAACGAAATCTTACATATTAACCACATGACTAGCTTCTGAAGCCTTCAAAACTGTAACTGCTGAGAAGCATGACCCAGACACAAACATGAAAAAACAACAGTTTCTGCTTTCAAACCTTTTTGGTTTTCTTCTGCTGAGGCAAGGGCAAATCTTTCATCCATTCCAGCTTCTCAAATTCCACATTGTCCATGTGAATCCATTCCTTCTTGGGCTTCACAGGCAGATCATCATCTTTGGGGGGGAGGGGAGGGGGGGTGGAAATAGCAGTCTTACCTTCCAAGGAAGGAATCAAGATAATACTATTCCCTCTTCGCCAAGCTACTTGGCTTACATACAAGATTCATGTAAAATAAGAAAACGGTTTTCAAACTGACTGTTGGCTGATTCATAAATATCAAAGCTTTGAAGCTGTTTTCATCTTTCACGAGAGCTACAAAAGGAAGTGAACAGCACTGTAATGAAATTCACAGACAAGGCTAATTTAGGAGAAGTTGAGCAGGAGTCAGGACACAAATAAGGCAAAGTGATCAGAACCAGGGCAGAAAAATAGCATCAACCCTACTTTCAAGAAAGCAAACCATGTGTCATCCAGGAAGGGGAATGCTAGAGGAGATGTGAAATGAGTCAAAAGTATTAATCATAGAATCATAGAACAGTTTGGGTTGGAAAGGACCTTAAGATCATCCAGTTCCAACCCCCTGCCATGGGCAGGGACACCCTGCACAAAACTATGTCACCCAAGACTCTACCCAACCTGGCCTTGCACAATGCAGAAAGGTCCAAGCAAATTATTGGAAGCCAGTATGATTTCAGCCCAGATACACTAGAGAGAGGACAAACACTACTGATTGTGCTTTCGTTGCATCTGTGATGCTGCTCTTCATCCCATGTCCCCCACTAAAGGCTTGAGAAGATCAGCTTGAGAAGATCAAAACAGCTGAGAACTTACACAGCTTGCCTGAGAAACAGCTCAGTAGGGAACCTGGACAGTTGAACAAGAATTTCAAAGGTTGAAGTACTAAAGGAAGAAAGTACTGATTTAACTTTCTAAAGTGCTTTGGCTAGAAGAATCTTAGAAACAAGATATTTATACCTGACATCACAAGAGTTGCCCTAGGAAAGAGACAGAAGAAGACAGAAGAATCTCACGAGTGAAGGGACAGGAGAAATACAACCAGAAATTATCTGAACACTAGGATAGGTAATGCTTTGCTACCAAGATACTATGCCATACTGCCGTGAGAAGAGAGGAGCCAAGATGTCCTTGCTATCTCAAGAGACATCACACGTTAGAATAGGAACAGGCAGTCTGAGGGCATGAGAAGCATGAGAAGCAGCAGCATCACTCCTGCTGGAGCAGCCCAGAATTCATTTGCATTGCAGCTATTAACCCTGGTGCCCTGGTCTTCACTTGTAAGGAACAATGAATCCCACTGAGATGTTCTTCTTTCATCCCATCTTTCCCTGCTGATAACTGGCCTGAAACCTAACCTTTTAATTTCCTCCAATTAGCAGATAAACTTTCAGGAAGGGCACTCATTTTTTTTAGGATGAAGCTTTATCCTTATGATCAATATGGTATTGAGTCAGGCAGGGAACCAAGCACAGAGTTGTCTTCCTCAGCCAGAAAGCTGTTCCACAGAATTTTAGCCAAAGGCTCAGCACACATTTTAACTGAAGAGAGGAAAAAACATCTGAAACGTAAGAAAGCTGAATGCTTGTGGGTGGTAGATGCAAAACTAGAGGAAATGATATCAGCAGAAAAATGAAATCTATTAATATTTGTAATTGTTTTCTCCATTAATCACTAAATTGATACGGTTGAGTTAATCATTCTATGAATAGGATTATGCATATTATCACCAGCCCTTAGTATTATGATCTTGTCATAAAAAGAGAATATTGAGATATATTCCAAAGCATCAGCAGATTTTCCAGTTACTGAGAAATCCCTTCAGAGAAACACAAGCTGACAGTGCAAATGCAACATTTGCATTGAACTTTTTCAGAACTGGGCTGTATTAAAGGCTGCCACTCAACTTCTTTCCTTTCTTCTTTGTTCCCCTTTTGTCTCAGTGCCAGAATACACTCTTCCATTTGATAAGATTACAAGTTGCTGGATAAAGGTTTCACCATCTTGTTTATTAGAAACAGTAGCCTTTTATCTCATTATGGGACAGGTTTGACTTTTGAGCAATCCCATTGCTTTCTGTCATCATCCTCTCCCTGAGGAAATTCAGAATGACCGTTTATGCTGAGTTATTTATGAGTTTACTTCTGAGCACAAAGAAATGCAAAATCCCAACACTAAGTGCTAATGTCTAATTAATATTTTACATATCGTGTTGTCCAAGATGGGCTGCAGACATCAACTCAGGTGCTGGAAAGGCTTCCCTTGTTTTTATAGCTTTCTTTGTTCTTTCAAATATCCTGGGAAAACTCCTTTCCCATGCAGTCTTCCATGGGAAGCAAAAGATGCTGTCAGCACACAATGCTCTGAACACTGAGCTATTCTCAAAAGCACTACTACAATCTCGTTCAGCCTTTATTGGTTGAACAACCCACACCCATTGCTCCCAGGCAAGTAAGAGCATCGCTTAACCTGGTGCTGCTTGTGCACTCAATTGTTCTCAAAATAAAAAGAACAAAGAATTGTCTTTTTGATCAAGATGGATCCGTGGAAAAGTAAAACTTAGAAGATGCAGAAAAAGCACTGCTGAGTGAAGTGTCTTCCTCAATAAGAGGCTAATCAGCTTTCCTTCTCCTGCACACATACATACACTCACAGACTCATCCCTCTCATCAAGAAAATGTTATCTCTTGCAAACACCAAGCTGAAAGCCAGAAGTGATTCAGAGACCTCTTTAATCAGTTGCACTGGGACACAATGCATCAGAAGAAAGGATCAAGAGATGGAGAGAGACAAAAACTGACATGGAATTGGGGGTGAAGCATGCTAATGAGAAAGAGAGACATGCTCTGAACAAAAGTATGGGGAAGATGAGAATTAGAGCCTAAAACCACAACACTGAAAAAGAGATGGCTGAAGAAAAAAATGCAGTGAGTAAAGCAACAATAAGAGCAGAAGCTTAAGGGGAAAACAATTCTCCACCATGAGAATATATGGGTTGCTCTAGCTGCGGGAGATAAAGCAACTTTCTCCTCATACAGATATATTTTGAGTATTCAATAGTACTAAGAGGCAACAGCTCTGTGCATTTCTTCCAAAAAAGGAGAACATTCTACACTTTAATACTTCCCTCCATCAAAACACAAAGAAAAGAACTCTATTCTGTGGAAATCACCATATGGACTCTGAGATACAAGCCACAAAGCAGGGACATCATGAGTATGTCATGAAAGTCATATGTGCACTACGTGAGCCATCCCCTGAAGACAGTGTTCTCCATGCTATCCTACGTGCAAATCACTCTTACCTACCCAGCACCCTCTTGTCCCCTAGCAGTTCCAGTTAAAAGAAATTATTCAAGCAGCAGCTGAATCCCACTACCACTCTTCTGTTTCCCTGTTCACATGACTGAACAGGACAGCAATGTTATCTAGTTTAAAACACATCTTCACTTCAGGGACCTCAGAAAAAATTTCAAAACCAAAGCAAAATGTCCCACTGAACAGCTTACCTTCATTATGTAGTGTATTACCCTTCTAACCTATGGAGCCCAGCTGGAAATAAGAGAGATTTTCTTTTTTGACCCAAGATGTATGTACTTTTAAATATGGTAAATTCTGAGTTGGATAACTAATAACTAATGAAGTGCCACATCAATCCAATCTGGATTTATGCAAATACCATACAAACCTTACATTTATGTTGAGAACATTAATAACATGCTCTTACCTGTGATTTCTACCTTCATATTTTCTTCTTCCCTTACAGATTCTTCCAGACCAGACTCCTCCATGGGAAGAGATGATCTTACACCATGCTGAGCCACAGAAAGAGATTCCACAAACTCCTCCTGTCTGTTCTGTTCCATTTTTAATTCCTTCTTCTGGCCTTCACTGCCACCACGTCGTGACTTTAAGAAAGCAACTAAACTGGGATCTGCAAGTATTGACAAAGAGACAGACAGAGATGTGACAGAAAGTCTCAAAATACTTGGTATGTCTATAGCTCCTGCTATTTATGTTTTAGTCTTTTCATTCCCATTCCACATGCCCTCTTTTTCTATACCAACTATCACTTCTTTTCAAACTGAGACACTTGAATGGTGAGGCGACACCAGAGAAAGAGCTGATAAAAGTCTTTCAAAGTAAAACCACTACAAAAATTCTAGTTATTCTCCCAGCTTACAAATAAAAAGAGAATAATTTCTTTCCCCCTCACTGCCACTGAAGAGGCACCATCGTGGAGAGAATTCTGGTCTGTGATTTAGGAGAAGAACCCAGGTCTGGCAGTTTGCCTACTCAGTGCCACACTCAGGGGTGACAACCTGAACACTATAAGAATACATGGAACAGACACCACAGTGAATTACCTGCTCTTTATTAAACTGCACTAGTGCTGCAGCGCACGGTCTAGATATTGTGTTAGAAGAAGGAGATCTCGTTTGCTCTGAACTGACTCCCCATCCTGAGAGTCAGTTATGGTCTGACAACATCCAGAAACATAGTAATTCTTTTCATGCTTTGGAGAAGAGGAACATTTGGGAGGTAGGGGCACTTTGAAGGATAGATAATATTCCTATGGCTCTAAAATAGGAAAATATCAGACGATCATAATTTTACTTTCAAATCTGCTTTGGATACCACACATCATTTTGACTGAGCACTTTGTCTCCAAATACTTTTCACCTAGAATGCGGTGTTGAGGTGCCAGAGGTGAACAAGAAGAGCTTGTGCATTGTGACTCTAAAAGGTATAGAGATACTCCAGTAAGCAGCGTCACAGATGCATAGAGTGTAGACAGAATGTAACACTGACACTGGTTATCCACTGTTAGGATGACAATGGACAAGGGATTCAGAAGTGCTCTGTACCTGAGAAGTCATCTCAGAGAGGAAGTTACTCCTATGTCTCTGAAACAGTTCAGGATGCAGGGATCTATCCCACACTTGTGACTGCTGCACACTCTCCTCCTAGTGCAGTTTAATCTCCCTTGGTGAAGGACAGACATTCAGCCCAGGCTCATTAAAGCACATGTATTTTTCCTGTATGCAAGCAGATCTCCCAACTTTCTCTCACTTCATTGAGCACAGCAAGAAAAGGACTGTATTCATTATTTCATCACTTCACACAGACAGTCACTAACACGTCACTGATGATGCCAATCTGTGCACGGTACGTCCGAAAGTCAGCCTGGTTTTGCTCAGTCTCCATGGGCAAAACCAGAGCAGTATCACCAGTAAGATCCTGAAGACACTGTCCAGCATGAAACTGCCTACCCATCCTCATGCTCCACACCATGGACTCATCTGCTTTGTAATTAAAATGCTAATTCAGAGCCTGGGCACCATTAAACATCCACAAATGATTCACTCTCCTGAATATGGAGAAAAAGTCTCTTTAATCCACATTTCTCTACTTGTCCAATTCCTTGCTTCATCCATAAGCCAGCATTTTGCTTAGGAGTAGATTCATCATGCATAATTAACTAACCACAGATATTTCGGGAAGGCCAAAATTACTCCCAGTTTCCTTAAAGCCTCAAACTCTGAAAGATCTACAATTTTAACCCACAGGGCATATAAACAAATACACAGTTTTATAAAATAACTTATTGTACAAAAATACTTAAAATACATCCTAGCCTTCTAAAACTATGTAGTAACCATTCATTTCACTAATGTCCCAAAGGACAGAGCAGTAGGGACAAGAAGCATGAATGAGACACAAGGAGAAAGTGCATAAACAAGATCTTTTATGTGCACATTCCATTGCTATGAGCAGTGAAGTTAAAAAACAGGATTTTTTTCATCTCAGGTAGCTAGAAGAGCTCAGCTGCCTGAACGACAGATGTACCTACATAGTTCTGTCTGCAACTATTTTGCACACTTCCTGTGCCACCTTTCCAGTTATACCCAGGCTGCTTGCAATGAAGTCAAGGTTGTTAATACGATCTTTAAGCTAAACTTAGGCATTTAAAATACCACTCACACCTAAATTGGATGCTAGAGAATTTGAACTTAGGAGAATTTCAAAACCCCTTGTCTGCCACCTGTATCTGCACGTCTGCTCTTCTTGAGCATACAAAATCACCGAAACCAATGCCAGCAGTTTTATGGTGCCCTAGATTCCACAAATTCTCAAACACACCACATTCAGCCCTCTCCCCCATCTTGTCATCAGCATTCCCAGAGCACCACTGTGGACAAGACTCCAAAACAGAGATTAGACCCCTGACAGAACATCTGCGTCCACCAGCCAGATAACTAAAACGCTTCGTCAAGAACAATACCAGTTGTTTTTCTGCTCTGCAAGTACAGACTTAACCTGAAATCTCCCACATGCTTCCCCTACCTGGGTACTGACAGTTCTGGCCCAAGTCTCAGGCATTTCAGAAGGGAAGACCAAGGGTGCTCTCTCACCTTAGCACTGCACTTGGGAAAGCATCCCAAGAATAGCTTTGCTTTCTAATCTGCTTCAGAGAAGACATTTTAGGACCTCAATATATGTACGTGTAACCAGGTATTTGGTGTGCAAAGTAATAGAGTGCATGGACCGCCTTAACCCATAGCAAAGGGGAGATGAGACAGACTTAGGTTAAGCCCCCTCTCACTGAGGAATAAGCACTCTATTTCCTTCACAATTCTTACTCACAAGCTACTGACATGACATGGAAGCTAAATTATCCATGTATACAATGAGGAGGAACCCCAAGCTCCCACCTTTGATCTGTGAATTTGGTAAGACTTTAGGATAGCCACACATTCAGTAAACTTCCAGGTCTCTAGAATTCACCCTGGGAAACACATACCCAGCTGAGCCAGAAGCCTTTCCTGCTCCTGCAGGATCTCTTCCTCAGACATGGACTGTAGCTTTTCCAAGTTCTCTCTGTGAATAGCTTGAACTTCCTCCTCACTCTTCTGGCTTCCAAGACCCTCTCCCGTTATGAGACAAGGCTGCCGAGAGGTCAAAAAGTCACCAGCTTTATCTGTTAGATGAGCAGAGAAAGCAGTTAGTGATTTAATGTGCCTACATCATGACACCTGCATCTCAATTTTGTCATTACCACATTTGCATAATTTACTTTTTATCTTTGAAGCTGAATTAAAATAGCAGTTAAGAAGTTTAGTTTCGTTTCAAACAAAACTAAAATACTTGGGCTTTCATCCCATGTCACAACAAAATGTCATTTCTACCTCATTTCTTTAGGAGTTTTGGGAGGGATGGGGGGGGAGGAAGGGATTTTGTTTCCTTAATGCAAAGCAACAGCAAGAAAACTGGAGCACAATTCACAACTAATGAGCATTCTGCCAAGTTAGTGAATACCAGGCACCTTCTCTGTCCAGGAACACCTGAACCCACATTTGTACTTCAGCTGAACCATGATCCTGACTCAGTATTTGTTGAGTGAGATAAAGAATTAAAATGATTAGGCACACCAGTTTCTGGAGTGATACAAGACCCATTCTCAACATGGGCATGTTTGCTTCCAACAATGCCCTGTATTCACATATTAGAAGTTCCAGCAGCGGGGCATTTTACCTACCCTGAACAGGATCAAGTCTCCTTTTGTTACCTGATCTAAATCCTTTGTAAAGGCCCATTTTGTTTTACTCCAGCAGACAGGTAACATGCTCTTTTGGCCAGAATGAGACCCTCCAGCTGTGTTGTAGCCCACTATACAAGGGCCTGACTTAGTGTCTTGTCTTCTTATGTTTTGTTCATATACTCCAAATAGTAACTTGGAACACCCCTATGACACTAAACCAGCCAACCCTGAAAGCATCAACCCCCTGTTAGAATAGCATCAATGACACTCATCATATCAGTAAGGTTTGATGTAATTTCCACACCAGTTGTCTTGCTCATTGAGCAGAAAGAGATGAGAAGACAGAGTGACCTGGGAAAAGATTCAGCAAGCCTCACACCATCAGCAACTAAGCTGAGGGTTACCAGGCACAAACATGTTGTTACTACAAAAAAGGGAGCTCCTGAAGTGATCCTGCCCAACAATCCTGCTGAGGAGGCCAAGCCATTTTCTGATCCCTCTGTTGCGCTACTACATTTCAAAACCGTTCTACTTCAAGAGGATCACAGCTCTTGGGCTGCTGGATTTCCCTCTTTGAGATTTCTCAGACAGAAGTACACATGCACAATTGTAACAGGCTATTAGGCAGGCACAGTACACTGACCTGGATGGTGGATTTGTACATGGCAGTGCACAGCACATCCAGGGATTCTCTTACCAATTCTCTGACAAGAGTCAGGGCAGAGGGAAACTTAGATAAACAATGATAACCCTCAATGGGTTATCTGGCCTCTATATCAATGTGAAAAGGAGGGTGCCAGTGAAAAGCCCAGACACATGGTGGTCCTAGGTAAACAGTAAATAAAAGTCCAAGACAAAAAACATAAATGCCTGGAGATTCTGGTACCAGTTGAATTGGTTTCATCTTTCCTTGTCACGTTGCTGTCAGACAAGTAACTGCTGGAGGTGGCACTGACTCATCAGCACTGCCTCACAGCCTTCCTTATGAAGCAAAGCCACAGTCTCATGGCAGCAGATCTGGTGACAGAAGACTGAGCCTTCAGCTTCTAGGTAGGAGTGAGAACCCGCATCAGAGTAGTCTCAAACGCCTTCATGAGGCACAAGAACCACCCTCTTCCTAAAATTGTGGAAATCAAAGATGAAACAAGAAAAACTTTACATAGTAGAGACGAAAAGGAAGACAAGGACCTTGAAAAACAAATCTGTTTGGGCCTGTGCAAAGCAAAAAGGAAACCAGTGAGAAAGCTAACCCAATTTTTAGAATGTTAATTTGGGTCTCAGACCACTTCAAATCCTTCAAATCACATTCCAAGTGACCTTGAGATTCATAAACTGAGGACAGAAGTGCTACCTTACTTTAAAAATCAGGTGCAGTGATGTTACAGTTACTAAGGCTACTTAAATACAGTAGGCTGGATAAGCAGAACCTTCTCCACTCACCATCCCTGGAGCCAAGGAAAGGCGCCTCTGCTGCTGACCCCTCAGGATCCTGGGCGCCCGGAGCAGCAGATCCCACTTGCATGCACTCGGCAGCAGAGGGGGCTGTTGCTGCCTTTTCAGCAGCTCTTCTCGCTGCCATCTTTTGTGCAAAGATGCTTTTTCTTCCAGATGCCACCTTCACCTGCAAACAGGGAAGCCATGTGTCACCTCTTTCCAGACTCCCCCGCACACCTGCCACTAACAAATGTATAGATCCGATGCTAAAGACTCCTTCACATCAGACTCTGGGGTGTGATACAGAGAAGCTGCTGGCAGCCACCTGCATTTTCTATATGTGCATTATTCTTATCTTAAGACAGGTTTTAATGCTAGGACAGAAAGACAAAACATTACTGTTTTTTCTACCTAGAGAAGGAAGATGATTAATTAGAAATGAATTCAAGCCAGGCAAGTACACTTAAAATATCACCAAACACAACAGTTCCAGCTTTCCTGCTGTTCAGAAACTGCATTGCTGACTACTTTGGATTTCTGAGGATAAAAGAGGCTGTACTGCACCGTGCTCACCACATGCTTGGAACAGGCTTCTTATAAGGTGATTAGAGAGCAGGAGGGTGAAAAGATTTACACAGTAAGAAATGGGCACCTGGTGCTAAAATAATCCTGACTAAATTACTGTGTTGCTTGCCTAGGTGATGGAAGGACATGGCTGTGAACAGCTTTGCACAGGATGCACAAGAAATCCAAAGCAGACTAAGCAAAAAACCTCTTGCATATCCCTAGTCCAGAGAAGCTGCTCAAAAGACAGTCTGAACATTGGGCAGCTGCTTTGCGTACTCCTACATTAGATAAACAGAAATGGTAGTTTCAAAAGTATCGCTCTTTCAAAAAAGCTGTCCTTCAAAGTAAGCTACCTCTTCAAAGTAACAGCTATCAATCACATACCAATTCCCAGCATCTGACTCCCACTCAGCTAGCAACTCTTGCTACTGTAGCAATGCCTGGTGATAGCAGCCATGGTTTCCAGCTTTACAGCCTCAGAAATTATGCCAAAATCCAAAAAGCTGCAAAAGATAATCTGTGCAACCACACTCAACTGTCATGTCAGGAGAAATCGGGTGTAGCTTCAGTAAGTATGAACTTAAACCTGGTGGATAAATTAACAGAGGTTTATTTTTCTCTGAGGTTTCACTCTCAGAGAAAAACAGAACAGGATCAACTCTATTACAGCAGTGCAGATCTGATCCATCTCACTACAGTTAGCTGAGGGGGATCACCTTTTTCCTAAACCTAAAGGATTCCAGAGTTATTTAGATGCAGGGTGTGAGGTACCTAAATGGCAGCTTGGTAGAACTCTCTCCTACACTAATGTGCAAATGTGAGAGAGATGCTGAGCTAACTCATAACCTCCAGCAGGCCAAGTCACTTACTTCGAGTCCTACCACCCACCAAGCATCAGGCTTTGCTGTGATCAAATTTTAGTCATGAATAAGGTACCATAAAACAGCTGCTCCCAAACTTACCTCACTTTTTATCTCAGAGCGGTGAAATGTCCTTGGAAATGGGTCTCCAGTGGGCACTGGCATGGTCACCGCTGCTGCACTTGTGTCTCGCTCCTGCATCAAGAAATTAAAGCCCTGTAGAAACCATCACAACAGCCAGATATACATCACTTTATATCGTTTAGCTAAGAGTGGACTCAAAATCTCTCAGCTCTGCAGCTCACAAGCTTCCTGCTGCGTCACTGTCAGGCTCAGAATACCTTGTGCTTATTTAGAGATGAAGTGAGGTTATTTTCCAAAAGGCTGGGCTGCCAAACTCCAAGAATCAGACAAAGGAAAAAATCTGGGCCAGTGCAAAGCAATGAGAACATCCTCCTTAGAAAGTCCAGAAATTCACCCAAATCCCCACTGGAGCACATGCCTGCATGCAGGCAGCGTGACCTGTAGGCAGTCTAGACTGGAAAGCAGATTCAGACCCATATTTAGCCGACAGCAAAAATAGCCACGAAGAACTTTTCTTTCAAGAAGCTCCCTGAAGGAGCAGTTGTAGCACAACTACAGTGCTACAACTGCTTCACTACACTGTAGAAATAAAAAGCAGCAACAGAACCTTTCATCCTTGTCCATTTAGTTCACAGCATTCAAAAAAAGAAAGGAAAACCAACCGAATAACAAACCAACAAAACCCCAAACTAGAGCATCACATAAAACCTAGACATACAATAATTTTGCTGAAGACTGCTGTGATGTGTCGATCATGACGCTCCAGTCTTTCCTCTGGATCTTCATCCTCAAAGTGGACACAGGCACTTTTGACCTTTGACTTTTTTGGAGGAGCTGGAGTTAGAGCTGGTAAAGTATCAGGAAAATCTGGGGATGGGAAATAATAAGGGAAAAAAAGCAGTGAGGTTACTCATATGTAACTACTGCGCAATAGGTATCAGACCAAGGCTCCCTAACAGCACCTATTGCTCTGATGAGAAACCAAGATGAGGAAGCAAGAAGCCCTCTGTCTCTGACTTGCACTGGGTAATAGAGAGAAACATACTCAATTTTATTAGTTATGTATTAGCACCAAGGTCTTTTCAATGAGCTCCATAAGCAGGAAAGGGTACTAAGGCCTGACTGCAAATATTAATGGAAGAAGCAAGGCTTTATAGAAACAGTGTCCTTGCAGATTATGTTCAGGCATAATTCCACTGCCAGCTCTAACAGTGAGTGACTTGTATGATCACGAGCAAGACAAGGCCTCCTTTTCCCTGTCTATAAACTGGGTTCATGTTTTCTTACCTAGAACTAAGCACTATAGGATTTAAGTTGTTGCTTTTAAGAAAACACCTTGAGCTTCTCAGACTATTAAGTACACAACAGAAATGTTACAGTTAGTACTGATGGAGGAAAAAAAAACTGTAGGAAGGCAGCTTATCAAGCTAGATCTGCTGGCTGAAAGCTGGAGCTCTTAGCAGAGCTAAACCTCAGAGATACTGGGAACAGGGTCTGAACAGACTGCAAAGTAAGCAGCGAGTGTCCAATGGGTACAAATCACAGAAAACACCTCTTGCAGTGAGGATGGCAAGGTACCACAGGCAAAAGGCAATGTGTTGGAAACGTGGTTCTACTGGATGCCAGGAACACTGGACCAGTGTGTTTCCCGACAAGGCTAAGAACAAACAATACTGCAAGGAGGACACACATGCAGGGCAAAAGGAACACCGAGTTGAGAGGGAGGTGAAAACACAAGCAGTGAGGAAGACAGAAAGAGACACAGAATTCTGGTAATCCAAATAAGCCCACAAGGGAAATTACCATCCAACATGACCACATCCTTGCTGTCCTGTAGTGGGGGTCTCTCAGCATCTGTGGTCCTTTCCTCCCCTTTCCTCTTGTCTGCTTTCTTCACAACCTTTACTGCAGGTGAAGCTCTGGCTGCCAGGAACTGGTTTTGAAAGTGCAGCAGGTCTGCCTCAGACTCCCCAGGCTTTGGTCTCAACAACATCCTGCCTTCTTGCTCTTGCAATCCAGTCCTGTGTACTGTTCACATGGAAACTACTGCAGATGTGGAAAACTGGTTACAGAATTGGAGGTCCTGGAGAGAGGATGGGGACAGCAAGGGAAAACTATTAACTTTTGTACCACTCTGCTGTTCCAGTATATACCACATCCACCCTACTTCAGGATCACCCCAGGACACAACTAGTTGTACCAGAATCCCAGACAAACCATCCACCTTGTTCTTCGTTGCCAGAGAACATGCTACTAGACAAGCCAACACCTGGTCTAGCAGCCAGCTGGAAGCAGAATGGCATCATTCCAGCAAAAAGCCAGCCAACAACTGCATCACTGCAGAGTGCCAACAACACAGCCTTGGATTTGCAAAGCCACAGAAGCACCTTGTCCAAGACAACAGATTTCACTTCCTCCATTATCAACACCAACCAGAACATCAGAGACATAGTCTCATGCAAACCTCCCCCCTCCAGCATAAAGTCTTCTCTGAATCCCAGTATTAGCATTCCTGTCAGGATGAAACAGCCTGTGCATGTAGATTTGGACAATGCACTCACTCTCACTGACTGTGCTCTCCTTCACGCTCATATCTCCCAAGTGAAAACAGTTTTTCTTCCCTATCTAGTCCTTCTGCTCTAGCTCTCTTCTCTCTCAGTCTTTCACTGACCTCTCACTGACAGAAGTCATGTTATTTCCAAGCATTTTCATTCACTGCCCAGGCCAGTTTTAAATGGAAAGCCAAGGATGGTATTTATAAAGACTTCTACCTCTGTGCATGTAAGAATTTACTGGGAAGGCAACTATTCCTCTTCCGTTCTCTTGGGCATGAAAATACTTGTGAGTATTACTCTCACCTCTCATTCCCAGAGCCTGGGACCATCAATCTATTTCTGACAGGCAGCAAGTAAAGTGTTTGCAAATACATTTCACACTAATTGAGTCACTAAGCAGCACTAATGCTACAGACCTGACACCTCCCACACTTGGTATGTTGAAATGTTTGGTACATATTTGATCTCTTCCACTTTTCAAAAGCCCATCAGGACTCAATGACAATTTATTGTGAAGTATGGAAGGGAAGTGGATGTGGATTTTAAAACTGCAGTTATATGCCATATGGGAAGGCTGTACATATGAGAAAATGCAAAGCTTGGAAATGAGTCTCTGTTTTAATCTAAGACCAAAGCAAAGTTCAACCCCTGTGCAAATACAGCCACTGCTCTGAAACCAATATTTTGTCTTATGCTATTATCATACTTCATTGTAAAATACGTGGAGAGATATCTTGTGGAAAACATGCTAACAGACACAAGAATTACTGCATGCAGTATTTACCACCTATACTTGGAATAGTTACACTATTTTCAGGGTCCTCATTCTTGACCAAGGTTAGTTAGGTGTGATGCTGCTGGTTCCAAGAGCACGAAGAGCTCCAGAGAGTTCTATGTTTGTTACCTTTCTAAAATCAAGGCCTCAGTGTAAAACCACAAACCATGTAAGACTCGCTGAAATTCTTTTTCATGCCCCTTACTTTGTGCAAAAGCTGGACTAAAAGCCATTCAGACTTAAAGAGTTTTGTCTACCAAAACAAAGTGGATTTTCAGAGGTTTCAAGGTTTCCAGGGACTCTATTCACTTCAGTACTACATGGCTGAGGACCCAGACTTCTTCATTCAATGCCAACATCACGAGTTAGTTGCTTATTTCAGACATCTCAAAACACCAATCTTAATGAAAGCTGTAAGCTCAAGAGTCCCAGAACAACAACTTCCAGTTAAACCAAGCCTACACACGGCACAAGCAGCAGCAAGAGGGACATCCCTGTACCCACTGAACAACAAAACCCACCCCCAGCACTCATGGAAAATGCCCAATTTCTCTATCAATGCTGTCAAGGACATCTGTGGAACACTGCCGCTAGCAAAGGCTACTTCAGGGCAGGAAGGGAATGGGGCACACTGCTGTGGTGCATTGCTACTGTTGGAGGAGGGCTTAACAAAAACACTCCTGGGATGTCATTGTGGTTCTGACTGATGCTGAGAAAGCAGAAACACTCCCTTTCAGCACTGTTCCCTTGCAACTGCACAGGAAAATCTGCAACTTCTGCAGACAGCTCCCTTTCTGTGTACTCCTAGCATCAGCACATACCTATTGCTGTTAATTTATGGAGCTTTCTGCCACAACAGGGGCTCCAACAGTCATACTTCAGTTGATAGGTCTCTCTTTGATATGCATAAGTAGCACCACATGCATCAAGCCAAATGTTTCATGCCCCATCATCACAGGCTTCAAAGCCAAAATGGGGATGATGCTAAGATTAACAGACATAAGCAAGTGTGCTGCTAATCTTTCTGAAATAAGCCTCTTCCACACAGGGATCTCCATACACTTGTGCAAGTCTCTGTGTATTCAAATAGCTAAAAATACAGCAGGCCTTGAAACTGCTTTCATTTGCCCGAGGAATTGTCAAGCACAAGAAGCCAACTATGCAGTCATTGTCTAAAAAGGTTAGTTATTCCAGGAACCCTTTCCTCAAAGTCGTTCCTTCCTCCATAGGGATACAGAGGCCACCCAGAAGAGTTACAAGATGTCAATACAGAGGTGGGTGCTAGTTTGGTAAAAAAGTAACTAAAAGCTTTAAAAGTGTTCTTTCCATGACCCAACTGGGTCTAGAAATCTAATACAACCAAGGCCTCTGACTTGGTCCTTCTGCAGTCCAATGAGCTAAGAACTGCTTAAGTACATATGGAACTTACAGACAGAATGTAGTGAAAAGAGTTTGCTTTCCAATGGTACCTTTTTCCATGCCCCATGAAAGACATCCAAGCACACTGGCAACATTCACCTGGCCATCATAAAGAGAAACTCTTATCCACCAGAGCACAGAGAAAACATGCAAGAAAAATAACACTCTACTGATGATCAGGACTAATCCCAGCATCCTGTGGCTGGTTATCTCCGACCCGGCAGCTGGCTACTTAAGAGGTAACCACACACAAACTGTTTGCCTGGAGGGACCACCATCTAGCCAACATATGCAGCCTCATGAGGATATTATCATATGAACACATGTAAGGGATCAGAAATGCTGTCAAAGGACCACAGGACACACCAGAACATAGTGATTATTCTGTGAACACACTATCATCTGCTATTGTACTTTCTGTTTGCACTTAAAGTCTCAATAAGTATCTTTCTGTCTGTCATGCTCTGGACTTTCCAAGGATACTGTTTGAAAAGCCCATCAGTGCTGCAGGAAGTTTTACAAACTCAGCTGAGAGCAATGGTCTGAGCCAGGCTTCAAGAAGACACAAAAGCACAGAAGGCAATAAAGCAGACTGCTTCACATGCCCAGCACTTGTTTAATTTTGGATTAACCAGCTTCAGATCGAGTGTAAGCCTGTACCAGAGCATCACAAAGAATGGCATTTACCTTACAGATAAACTGAGGTCTACAATACTCCTCCAGTGCTTTCCAGAAGCAACATTTAAGCTTTGGAGGCACATTACCAACCCCTGCCACTACTCTCAGCAGATATAAAACATAAGAATAATCAGACACAGCATTTGAGCAAAGTACCACCCCACTCCTGGCCAAGACTTTTAGAGGTTCCACTGGGCCACAAAGAACTGCACTTTAATTGATATAATCCAATACCATTAGGGGGTTTATATTATTCTAGCCCATCTGCATTTGCAATGCAATTTTCTTGCACAGCAGCAGAGCCCTACAGCCCGAAGGAGACATATACAACAGAAGTCATGAACTAGACACAGTTATATAATAGAATCATATCACAGTATAGTTTGGGTTGGAAGGGACCTTAAAGCTCATCCAGCCCCTGCCACGGGCAGGGACACGTTCCACTAGCGCAGGTTGCTCCAGGTGTTGCCTCAAACACCACCAGGGATGGGGCAAGCACAGCTGCTCTGGCCACCCTGTGCCAGTCTCACCACCCTCACAGTAAAGAATTTATTTCCAATATCTAAACTAAGGCTTCCCTCACTCAGTTTTAGAGTCACTACACCTTGTCCTTTCCCTACCTCCCCTTTCAGAAAGCCCCTCTCCATATTTCCTGTCAGCCTATTTAGGCATTAGAAGCTGCTCTAAGGTCTCCCCTGAGCTTACTCTTCACCAGGCCGAGCAACCCCAACTCTCACAGCCTGTCTCCACAGGGGAGGTTACCTCCTTCAGAGGGAAGGTAACCACAGGGAAGTTAAAAGAGAAAAGGTAGCAAGGAAATGTAAAACCAAAGAATCAACTCTGACTCCTATCAGATTTGGGTCAAAGAGGAATACAAGGTACTGCTCTCACAATCAGTGCCTCAAAGTATCATATTTCTTCAGACCTGTTGGTTGAGGTAAGAAATCAAAAGGAGAGGCAAAGAGGCACATCTCAGCCTCTCCAAGGCAGTTCAGCAGTCAGTGGAAAAGTACAACTGCTCTGCTCTAGTGGTCAATGAATGCCTCACTCAGGATTCTTGGCTACTTTGCAAAAAAGGTGATGTACATGCTCTGCTCTGCCACAAAAACACTTTTCTGCACACAACAGTGTAATGACCAAAGCCCAGGCTCCACAAAAGAGTCAGTAACTTCTACGGGCTATAGGGAAAGCAGATACTTGTGAGGATGCTCCTCCCACAAGGAAACCCCCAGCCAAAGCTACGAGAACATCTCCTCAACGAGGCTCCACATCTCACGCTGGTCACATCAGACTCACTGTTACTTTGCCTGCCAGGCACACACCATGTGCACACACACAGCACCTCGCCTGCAGAAACGCTGCCGTCCCCAGCTTGCCTGAAGACTTTGCAACCAAGAAATGGTCTCAGCATGGCACGAAATGGAACTAAAAGCGAAGAGCTGCTATTAACAAACTAACGAGCAGATACGTCCCGACACTCCCACCGCTAAACGAGTCTAAACCGAAGTCTTACACCCGCAGGCGAGGCCCGGAGACTGACAGGGAGCTGCTCGGCGGAGGGACCCACCGCCACAGGGACCGCAGAGGGACCGCGGCGCCTGGAGGCCGCAGGGCTCCTGCAACCACGCTCCTCTTTACGCTACAGCACAACCAAAGCCCTGCATCCCCACGGCCTGCCCCGAGCACGGCCCACCTCACACCGCGCCCGGCCGCGCCGCTCACGCACCGCACTTCCGCCCGGTCCCAAGCCGGCTACTTCCGCCCGGCGCACGTCACTTCCACCCGCCCTTGCCGCCAGCGGCTCGGTGCTGTGGGGGGAGCCAGCGCCATCTTCTCTCTCCTCAGGGGCGCCCTTCGCTGTGTCCCCAGGGTTGCGGGCTTGCCGTGTTCCCGCAGTCCCTGCGAGGCAGGTCTCTTGTTGGCTCTCCCGCTGGCTGCGAGAAGGTGTGAGCAGGGTGTCCGCTGCTGCTGGTGCTGGTGGGAGAAACTGAACGTCTGCGGGCTTGCTCTTAGCCCGAGCAGTCCCAGTGCAAGTTCTCTCCGGGTGCTTTGGTTGGATATAAATACAGGGCACCTGAACCAAATAGTGTGTGTCTGCATGTCAAGAAATACATACATGTAAATACAGAAACTCTGCCTTTTCATTATTATAGGGCATTGATGTGCCTGAGACTGGAGGTGTTTCAGGAGAGCAGATACATAAAGCTACATAAACATGGCTATAATTTATTATTCATGCCTAATTATTCATTTATTATAAATGCCAAGCATTATTAGGGACTACTGTAAAGCTGTCAGAACTTGTAGAAGCATTGATTTTAACATTGAGTTTAGTGCTTTCAGCCTTTTTATCTGGGAAATGAGTTCTGTGAGCATGGGACCAGGCTGAGATTGTCATTCGGGCTTGGACACCAGCACCGCTGTGCCCACTGTTTGGGAAGCACCACAAATGCCCTAATGCTTTAAGGAATGCAGCACTTTCTAGTCTACTGGATCTCACTGGGGTCTTTTATCCCTTCAGAAAGCTGTGATGCTGCAGCAAAATCATAGAATGGTTTGCTTGGAAAGGACCTTAAGATCATCCAGTTCCAGCCCCCTGTCATGAGCAAGGACACTGCACACTAGACAGTGTTGCCCAAGGCTCTGTCCAGCCTGGCCTTGAACACTGCCAGGGATGGAACATTTACCACTTCTTTGGGCAGCCTGTTCCAGTGCCTCACCACCCTGAAATTATAGCCAGAAACAAGTTTTATGCATTACAAGCATTGAAAGCATTTAAATCTATAGAAACCAAGATAAACCTTCATCCTGTCAACAGCCAGTCCTAACCAGTGGCAGGGAACTTGGCTGGGACGAACACATACAAAACTGAAATTCCCAGTGAAAAGGCTGGACAAAAAACATCTCTCTCAGCTCTGTGCCTGCTGACCAGCAACCATGTTCCGAGGTGGTGAAGCTGATGACTCTACTCTTTTAGGTCGTTGCTCCCTTCTTGAAGTAGGAACCACCAAAATCACTCACAGATGCCCCATTAGACCAAGGGACTAAGTAGCCA